ACATGAGCAACGCTTTATCGGAGGCGGACCGGGACTATGGATTGAATACTACATGTATAGCGGGGTCAGCTAATGTATAGCGGGGTCAGCTAATGTAGGTCAGGTAATCGAATGTTGAGGTAATCGCAAGTCAAGCGAACCGAAGGTTGAGGTAATCGCAAGTTAAGCGAACCGAATGTCAAGACATTTGGACGTGAAAATAACCGAATCTTATAACAATTGAATGTCAAGATAATGTCTAAATAACGACACAATTGTAACATAATGAAACAATGACAACACAATATTGTAGCAATTACACAATAATGAAATAATTAAGAAATAAAGTTGGAATAATGAAACAATAGCAATACGATGCTGCAGTAAAAACACAATAATGGAATAAGCGCAAAATAATGTTTAAATAAAGACCAAATAATAATCAAACAAGTTTCCAAATAAAGATCAAACAACTAAACAATATTCAAATAATGACACCAAGCTAATTTTGGCGGTATTCTCACCCCATATAGGTAATCTAGATTCAGAGACAAGGTTAGACTCACTTAAGCTGCAGTTTGCAAATAGAATTTGTTGAGCATTCTCTCTATGCAACGTATGCATAGCCCAGTATTAGGAGTAACGCAAATGACCTATCCATGCATTGATAATTTGCTACTGTAAGTAGATGGAAGGAGAGGCATGTGGATTGGTGCTTTTGAACAGTACTGAATACAGCAACCACCAAGTGCCTTAAAGAGGTAGGGGTTTTACCTTGGGAAATGATGCGTTATCCAAAAGGTCCTAATAAGGTACTACATGGCCAAAAAAAACAGGCATGCATGTAGTCAAACCTGTGTATAGCAACCACCCAAAGAACTTTGTAAAATTGGTCTTGTATTTCTACCCGTGTACGAACACACAATGGGAGTCTTTAGTGTGCATACATCTGTTCCACCGATATCTTGGGAATCAAATTTCAATGAAACATGCTTAGTGATAATGCACAGATTAGTTGGCCAGACTAAGCATTTTCACTAGTTTTCTCAAGAACTGCTGCAGACAGTAACACAGACGACCATATATGGTCATGTGATCTTAAGTACCGTTTCATACATACAACTGCTTGCGTGTTCTGACAAGATAAACAGAAATATTAAGCCATCACATATGGTCTTGATTCCATGAAATATTTATTGTTATACCATAGCCACTTAGAAACATCCTGATCACAGCTGGCAGTTGTATCTTTTTAAAATTTACTTGTGAAAGATACAAAATGGAGCCAGTTTATCCTTTATTCTGCCCATGGCAGTCACCAGATAAATTCACTTGTTCATGTGATGTTTTCGAAGCATGTTCAAACTGGAACTAAAAATGTGGTTCCTATAACAGGCTTGCCATAATTTGTAATTTTTTTCGTTACAAGCGATTTGCATTTTTTTTTAATTTTTTGATTTTTTTTGCATATGCCAAGTGTAAAATTGTTTACATTACCAAATATTGCTAAGATTTGAATTTGTATAAAATCACATTCAATGCCTGCCACAATTTTGTGACCATTTCTCAAAAAGGGTCAGACAGTACAAATGCGTACATCAGGTTATAAGAACCACAATTTTTTTTCTTTCTGGATTTTTGTGCAAAATAACATTCTTCTTTCATTCACAAATGCACTCGAGACACCAAAGCTAACGGCAACTTTTTAATGTTACTCCTGTGAAACTTCAGAGACTATACACACTTCCATATGTTGTGACAATAATATTTGCAATCACTTGCATATGGGGATTCCATTGTTCCAGAATTCATAACACACAAAATCTTAAGGGGACAAATACCTGATTCAAATTTTCATTCATTCAAAACTTTGCAAAAATGAAATTACAATTTCTTTAAGTTTCTTATCCGTAGACTCTGAAATGTGTTGTTCAGCCCGGATAACACCAACAAGGTCTGAGTGACTACTACGAATGTGTTTGAGAAATTCCTGCTCAAAGCGTGTGATCAAAGTTGGGTCGACTTTGTCTAGATGACCTCTGACACCAGCATAGATGACGCATACTTGCTCAGCAATATCCATGGGAACTGCAACAGAAAACAGTGGATGTTTACATAGTGATGAAATAAATGCATTTAGATTTTGCATAAAAAGATTTCATTGCAGGGATCCAACATAACAGTTCTCAAACTTGCATTAATTTCAATGACTTTCCCTAGAGTGTCACAAAATAGCAATTTTTAGCAGTCAGATTACCCTTCCACCCCATCCAGTCCAATAAGTTAGGATGTGGAGCTAAAAAAAAAAAAACGCTCCAAGGTTAAGCATTTACTGCAGTTCATACCATATTGTCCTTGTTTGAGGAGCTCTGTCAGACGAACACCTCTATTCAGAAGAGCTTGTGTGGAAGCATCCAGATCAGAACCAAACTGAGCAAAGGCAGCTACTTCACGATACTGTGCCAACTCTAACTTCATGGAACCTGCCACCTGTGAGAATGTTCAATCATTTTAATGTAATTGTAATTATTCAGGAAAACAAGCTATCAACTTTATCAGTGATATTGGAAATTATGAAACAACTCGTAGTTTCAGAAGCAATATTACATATTTGAAATGGGCCATCATTTCCAAAGGTTAATAATATTCAAAATGTGTTGCAAGTTTCTCAATTACCTGTTTCATGGCTTTTGTTTGGGCAGCAGCTCCTACACGACTTACAGACAGACCTACATTGATGGCAGGGCGAATACCCTTGTAGAACAATTCATTCTCCAAGAATATCTGCAACAAAAAGAAAAATATCAAAACTGAAACCAGCAAGTAAACCTTTCTCAAAAATGGAATAAATTAAGTACATTACAAGTGCCCGATTCCCTGTTCTGATGGAATATGTCTCAACAGTTCATAAAACATTTTACTTGTAAAAAAATGTCTATGCATGAATTGTTGAATATTAAATTTATCCCACTGGTACACTGTACAGTATAACCTATGAATACTGCAAGCGTCAAAGTGGGTGAATACAGTACGACTCAAGTGAATTCCCTGAATACCAGCGAAGCTTGGCAATTCCTGTCGAGTCAACTTTCGAAACACTCTTCAATACTGTTGCATGATCGAAACAGACTTAAAGTTATTGACAGGAAAGAAAGGGCAATAATTTCACCTGTCCATCTGTGATAGAGATTACATTTGTTGGAATATATGCAGACACATCACCAGCCTGAGTTTCAATAATGGGTAAAGCAGTCAATGAACCACCTCCAAAGGCATCACTCATTTTAGCAGCACGTTCCAGTAATCTTGAATGAAGGTAGAAGACATCACCAGGGTAGGCCTCACGACCAGGGGGACGACGCAGTAACAGTGACATCTGACGGTAAGCAACAGCCTGATAAAGAAAGACAAATGCAATAAAGTTTAGCATTTATCATCTTTTCTACATTTCTAATGCACAAATTTAATATGCCACTACAAGTATGTGTAGGCGGGGTTTCATTAAGTTCTAGAGTAGGTGATGAGATTTACAAAGAAATTAGCCAAATTAGAACACTATTCTGTAGGACCAAATCTTGAAAATACAAAGTAGTCAACTGAACAAGCCAAGTAGACAGTTATTTAGCCAGTAGACTTCTCTGAAAGAAACTCCTATACAGGCGAGGAAAGAATGGCAGCAACACTGATACATCAGAGCTGCAATATCAACTATCCTTGAACATTTATAGTTTTAGAATCAAATGTTTGCATACCCAATTTTTATAGAGAAAGGTGTTGCGCTAAAAATAAGGCAGCATTTGTAAAGTACTCACCTGTTTAGACAAATCATCATAGACGATGAGGCCGTGTTTACCATTATCCCTGAAGTATTCACCCATGGCACAAGCAGAGTATGGTGAAAGATACTGTAAGGGTGCAGCATCAGATGCGGTGGCACTCACAACAATGGTGTATTTCATAGCATCTACACAGAAAAAAAATTCACAAATGTGGTAGACAAGTTAAAAAAAGGCCATAAAGGTATGCTCATCTTTGCTCAGTTCAGTTTATTTAAGTCTTTGTAACAAAATTCTAACGTATTAGTCACCAAAGCTCACCTTCTTGAGTAAGCCTGTGAACAATCTGAGCTACTGTACTTCTCTTTTGACCAATGGCACAGTAAATACAGTATAATTTCTGCTTTTCGTTTGAACCTTCATTGAACTTCTTCTGGTTGATAATAGCATCAATGGCAACAGCGGTTTTACTAAAAAAAAAAAAAAAAAAGAGTTGACATGCAATAATTTGACAGAAACATTGACTGCTAATGATCACGACCTGATAAGGTGACCATTACAGCAGATGTGCAAAAAATATAAGCCAAGATTGATAACAAGTGCACTCTAGAATATGGTAGCTTGATAGAAAAAACTTTTTTAATAACACAGATTTTAGATGGTAAACTCACCCAGTCTGCCTGTCACCAATGATCAACTCTCGCTGACCTCTACCAATTGGCACAAGACTGTCCACAGCTTTGATTCCCGTCAACATAGGTTCTTTTACAGATATACGGGGAATGATTCCTGGAGCCTTCAAACCTACTCGACGTCTCTCTGGACTTTTGATAGCTCCCTAACAAACAAACACAGTTTTAACTGAAAATACTTTTAATTTTGTGGTCCAACTGCCATCACTTGGATCCATTTAAACAAGCATAGTTGATTTTTATGCAGATTTTTAAAGCCGAAAGGCTACAAATGATAGCAATTTTAAACAAATGATTTTTATCCATTGATCATTACAGAACACAACTAAATTATGGTTCTAAAGTTTTACCTTTCCATCGATGGCATTTCCTAAGGCATCAACAACTCTTCCCAGAAGTTCTTCTCCAACAGGAACATCAACAATGGCACCCGTCCTTTTTACAATATCACCTTCTTTGATCAGTTTATCATTACCAAACACTACAATACCAACACTGTCAGGTTCTAAATTCATAGCCATACCCTACAAGAGAAATAAAGCATTAAACATCTGCGTCAAAGTTTTCCCCCACACACCTAGCCTGGAATCAAGCCACTCAGAGTGCTCTTTCCCAGTGCACTCTAAAATAGCCTGGTGAATTGCTAAGTAAATATGTAGACGACACAGGTACTAAGTCATCACAGATTGGCTGTCTTCATGACTTCTGTACATTACCATGGGAAATTGCATGTGCAGGTTGATCTGTACATTAGGACCGCCCAAAGCCTTCTCGACTGATTCACTCATCTTAGTCTTTATTCAAATCGCACGATAATAGACTGCGTCTACTTTACCACACACCTTAATGCCACTTGAAAATTCTACCATTTCTTCTGCTTGACAATTTTTCAGACCATATACACGAGCAATACCATCTCCAATGGACATGACACGGCCAGTTTCTTCAAGATCAGCTTTAGTACTAGCCCCAAGAATTCTTTCTTCCAAAACAGATGAAACCTCTGCAGAACCTGACAAAAATAAAATATTTTATAATTAATGTTTTCTTAATGGCCTAAGGATTCTACTAACTTGTGGTTAAGTTCACTCATTTTTCTTTAACATGAATTCCATCTTTGTTTTTTTGGCATTGGTATTTATTTGTATCCAGAGATTTGGCTTGGTAACATAGACAAGTGGTAAATTGTTATGAATTAAAATACTAAATGTTAAAAACAAAATTCAAAAAATTTACATTCAATTTATCAAGATTCAAGTGTAATAATATCCATAATATTTAATGGAAATTTATCTCCCTTGCCTTGAACGTTCTTAGTGCAAAATTTATTTACGTCACCATTAGCTACTTAATTTTCTAAATATTGATATGAAAAAATGATGCATGTAAACAAGCCACCTACTCAAATGACTGCGCCCAGGCAGAATTTTATATTTTTACTCGTTAGTTAACCAATTGCAAGGATTCTTTTATTTTTCTGAAAAGGTTTCCACCTTCAGTGTCAAATACATTAATTAATTTAGGGGTTCTTGCCCCAAAGTCAAGTGTCAACATACCTTGGCATGACGGCCTTGATGTTGTAATATGTCTGTTTGAAATAAAAGTGGTGGCCTGTGCTCCACGACATACCTTGAAAAGGAAGTGAAAGGAAAATATTAAATGAACATCATGATCAGGTTTTTTTGTTACATTTCTCTTAAGTAAACAAGATGGTTCAAGCAAAAAGCAGGTTGAAATAAGACAAAAGCATGACAGTGGCATGTTGTAAGCACTACAGAAGCACAGGTCTGACTATTTAAATAATTTTGTACTGGTGTAAACAAGTAGTTGTGCCATATTCAGTTTACTTAAATGCAATATTTTGGAGTTGTATTTTCAGGGAGAAATTAGGATATGAAAACATTAGGTTAGGGGTCTGCATAAGACAAGTGACTGAATGCAGTTTTGGTTTTTGAACATTTGACATTGCAATTTCATGGCCTTGCATAGAGTCTGCAATGGTTTGATTTCATTGATGTTTCAATCATACATCTCTCATCGAAAGTTTTATTTTCAACATTGGAATCATCATTTCTTACGATTTGTTTTTAAATAATTTTTACATCGGTTGTGGCATGATCGATAAGGTATCATGTTTAACGATCCCAATAAGCTAGATACGATGGAAAAACATGTTAAACATTTTCTTCAAACGATTAGACTACAATTTACAACAAGTACATGCTGACCCACAGAGTACAGGAGTATGGTTCAAGTCGCTATTTTGAATATGCATTTAAAAATGGCATTCTTACGACAGGGCTATCTCACCCTTAAACTAAGATTCCTCAATACCCTGGATTGCACCATAGAATCATTGAAGACTATTGTTACTTAAACAACTAATTTGTCTATTGTATTTTTAATTACGAAAATAATCTGAAAATTAATGTAATAAAAAAAACCTGCGTTTCCAACTATAGCAATGCCTTTCACGTGAACATAGCGCCCGGTCAACTTTTTCGCCGGTATACCCACATGACCTTTGAACCATCCGAACACATCACGCTGGACACAATTTCTCTAAGATTTGACCTAACAATTAAATTCAGGTTTGGGATTTTCAAGTAAACTGATTCGTCGTGTATTAATACGCTATATATAACAAGAAAGACGTGCATGCCAAAACCAGTATCCTCAACGTGCACGGTGTTATGGTTTTTGTAGTCTACGTGCGGCTCACGACCTAATCACAAACGTGAAATTGCCGTGCCGGTCGCCGAAATGTATTTCAAAATAATGTAAGTAAGCAACAACATGGTCTCATAATATGAGCACATATTACCTTCGGTATATGCCTCGGAAGCTGCCTCACAAGAGCAGAAGTTAGACGTGCCGAAAACATCGTGATTTTTTTGCAACTTTCCGGCCACGACTTGACGAGCAGAAGTCTCGGAACAAGATGGCGGTCAAGGGGCAGTTTGGGAAATCCCGTGGTTGAAACTTGCCCAGGCTCTTCAAAGTTAACAATTCCTCTGCATTTTTTTTATTTAAAAACAATACGTCAATGTCAATTATAATAAGAATATTTTTTAATTTATAAAAACTACTTGCCTCATTATTTTCAGCATTTTTTGACTGTATATATATTGTGCATCAGAATGTTACGATAATAAACGTTATTAATCCAATAAGCCTGAACAATGTTGAGTTCAAGTGAGGTCACAACCCGGATATATTCCGCTCAACGAACAGTATTGTGGGTATTTGTTTCGTAAGCGTCATGTGATTTTCGAATGACGTTTATCAGAATATTACTTGTAACTCTGCATTTGAAGTCAGTCACCAGTTGAGATAGTTTATCCCAATTTCCGCGTTTTAGCAACCAAGGTTTCAATTATGGGTGTTTGTAGCGTTACAGCAAAATGTACGATGGTAATTCTGGCAGTTATATTTTGGGTAAGCTATTGTATTCGTGAATTGTCAACATCTGCGCCACCACTAGCGGGGATTGGAGTTGACGGTCGATTATAAGTATGCCGTTGGTTGCCGAAGTCTAGCAGGAAATATTGCTTAGAAATAAATATTTCCTGCCAGAATTCCGCAACCAACCACATACGTAGATCGTCAATCCCATGTGGTGCCATCGGTTCTCATCCCTCATGGAACGAAGTTCTATGCATCACTCAAATCATTAAATCCAGATCATGAAAAATTGTTATAACGGATGAAAACAAGATTCGTACTATTCCCTGTGAATATTGCAATATAGCGAGAGACTTCACTATTGGCGCTATCAAATGATATAATGTTATAAAAACTGTTTCTGCATTTTGTGACAACTATTTTATCTTGGTACATACTATGGCTAATTTGTCTGTTTTCATATTGCGACATTGTTGTGACTATACAAAGGTAGACTAGTTGTAAATTATCCGTACAAATATTATTTGCTATTGCTTCAACCGTCTTGGGAAAGTTGATATGGTTATTGAAACGTTGATGAGCACTTCCCAGGGAAGTTCCTGCTGTAATCTTATAATACTTCAATTGTAGAGGTCCATGGTACTCTATGTTACTATCACCACAGGGGCCTGACGATTTATTTGTGTGGTTGGTTGCTGAAATCAATACGTGGACGTTTATGGGGTGGAATGACTATGTTCCAGTACAGGGCCCTTATCCTTGCTCAAAATAGAAATTATAGAACAGAAACAGTTTGGTAATGTCATGAAGCATATATCATTAAATTTACGGTAATCATCCACGATCTGAAACTCCAAAATCGCTATTACTGTAAAGGGGGTAATTATTCACTGGGTTTTAATTTAGCTTATTTCGCTGACTGGAAAAATGCGCTAAATTAAAACACAGTGAATATGTAAAATTTAGCATAGAACACATTATCTAAATGACGAAACCGTGAATTTAAAACCCACTGAATATGCCTGAAATGGTAAATCAGTGAAATTTAAACCCAGTGAATATTAGTCATTTTACAGTACTTGTTTCTGGCCAATCAGCCTGCACTAAACTATATTACTAATCTGGTTGCTGATTAGTATGATAATACACATATTAATTTGCAATACCCGGTATTTCATTATGGCTGTAACATCTGTTTTTATAGCATTGTGTTTGTGATTGGCTTAGTTTATACAATGTACTACTGATATTGTGATTTATAATTTTCTGTCTGATATTTGTCAACATACATGTGTAATTGTTAGTATTTTTTTTCTACAAGACCATTTTGGGATCCTTTGTATTTAAATATTTGGAATTTGTGATACTCAAGTGTTGAATTAAAAATTTTTTTTTTGAATTCTATAATAAATAGGGTGAATTGTGTCAAGCCTACATTCTGTGGAATTGGAACGTATATACATGTACATGTAATATTGACTCTATTAAGTGTCTAGCATACAATATATGTACAATGTTTTGTTCATGTGCTCTTTAAATGGAACAAATATAGTACTAAGACAACGTTTTTTGGTTTTTATCTTTATTATCACTCTGACTCAGACACCCATCCCCTCGTACACACTTCACTCTGTCATGATGTTTACTTTAATGTATGATTAGTTTACTGCTGGCCTTATGCCATTGACTCATTTGATTAATACATGGTTACACCGCCTGATAAAAGATTTCATGGATAGCTAAAATGAATGGGGTGGGGTGTGCTACACTATAAGATTGCAAAGTTTAGACTGCATGTTGTATATTGAATGTGTGTAGTGTCCAGTGTTCCCTTCAAATTGTTATGGTGTGTCGTACATTTGAAAATCAGTTAAGCAATGAGATTTTGTGTGACTCGTCTAGTTATGCTTATTGTTTGGTGTACCAATGATGCAACAAAATCACATACTAATATGGTAATCTTGGATCTTATAGTCACATACAATCATTAAAATGTTTTAGCTCTGACTGGATACAGTCCAGGCTTATAGATTGGGTTGCATTAATTTGTTGCTTTGTCAGGATTTCATAACTTGGTACATACCGGTACATGTAGTTGATACAGATTTTTATTCATTCAGATTCAAAATGTCAAAGTGGCAGCCATATTTGACTTCAAAATGGCATGCAAATATAAATTTTCTATTTGCTGAGAATTGTCTCCAAGGTGTAATATTGAAATTGGCCATCTGCTCATCTCATGTTTGCTTATACATGAGATTGCAATCACTAAATTTATAGAGGCAACATGTTGTTTCACTAAGGTATTTTTGTAGCGATCCTATCCAATATGGCCGGCTGGCAAACTTTTTTTTTTTTACGAAAAATACCAATTTTCTTCCTTTTTTTTGGCATAATTCTAAGTTGATCTGTGCTATTATCCCTATGCAGTCAACAAGCTGTCCAACTTAATTTTGTGATTTCGTTTTGGTTCAAAATCCCCACGTGTACAGAATCTGTCCTGTTAGAGGACACATTGCTAATCAGTCTTCCATATTTATTGGCAGGTTATTTCCTTCATTTTTGGTACAGCCAGCCTTGTGTAGATTTGCTCACGCTAATACTGTGGGAGTTTTACAACGATTACAATAATATCCTATAAGTATAAGATCCTATGATATGCAATTGGTTGTATAGATTTAAGTATGAAACCAAATAGTTCCAACTCTCAGACCAGGTTTAGATAAATTTGATACAGTGATTCCTTGATAGATTCAAGTTTTCTACATTGATTCACCTTTCATGATACAAGAGCTGTGTCAACATGACAAATATATTTTTTCCTGACTTAATTTTGGTGCATGTAACTTCCTTATTCTGTGAAAGAGGAAGACTGACCATATAACAGTCTTTTAATTCACCATGTACTTTTTGACAGCATTTTCAGGTGACCAGTGTGGATTATGCTTTGGCAGATCTAGTTTTGATGCATTGTCCTTGGGCAGCTACAACTATGTAATGATACATCTACATGTGGATGAATAATAAATGAAAATAAAACCCAGTATTAAAGTAGTTTTTACCTTGCATGGCACTCAGTAGAAAGATTTGCTTTTATTAACTTCTCCTAAATCACCAAAGCGACATTATTGATGTGATACATCAAAACCCCCAATAGTAATGGTAGGAGTTTAATATAATGATTGGATCTGCAGTCTTGGTTCATCATTTACAATTGCATGGTGAGGCATAAGAAACAATTTTTGAATAGCAACATGATTTGGAATTCTCTATTTGGCAAGTGACAGGTACGAGCAATATCCTGGAACTCCTGTCCATGCTCAAGTCCATCTCTGTATGCAGTTCCTACCCCTATATTTTATGAGCTTTTCGTGGTAAATACTTGTATGAATGCCAGTATTGCTTTCACTAACCAATGATACATGTACGTAGCAAAACCATAGAATGTAATGCATATGTGAAAACTAAGAGTATTTTAAAAATTTCTTCTCAGGCGGCTGCTGCAGGATTGGGATATGTTGGCATCCATGTATTTGTGACTTACGGAAACTATGAAGACATCACCAAATCATACTACACATTAATTCCAGCCGGGATAATCCTAGGAGCTGCTGTCTTTCTACTGATTACTGGTTTAGTTGGATGTTGTGGAGCATGTATTGAAAGCAAATGCTTACTTGGAACTGTAAGTAAACTTGATAATATGATGATTTCATAGTGGCATTGTGGTCTGTTTTGGAGACATTTTAGGGATAGAAGTCGGATAATCAACTATGTGAGTGAGCAGTGTTACCTCATTTTCTGTTAAATTTTTTTCAAGTTTTACTAAAAATATAAAAATGAAATAATTGCCCAAGAGTCTGATATTAATGATCTAGCTTTCAGAGAATTCAATTTTTGGGGTACATACACAAAATACAGAATACTTAGCAGCAATTATCCTGTTAATTATCTCAGTACTGATAAATTTTAGTTATGTGCATTTTTACAGAAATATAATAAAATGTAATGTGGCTTAGGTAAGATTAATTCTGTTGATAACAAGTGTCAGGCAGCCTTAATTGATTTGTACACTCAGTTTGCTTCATTGCCACTCTGCTGATATCTTTTATATTATTGCTGCCTTATTTATCGTTCATTGTAATATTTTTTTTTTTCCAGTTTTTCACGCTGATATTGTTGATTCTTTTGTTGGAAATCACAGGAGCCGTTCTTGGATTTGTATATCATGGCGAGGTATGGTTGTGCTTCTGTTTATATGAGACAATTTCAATATCAAGTTGTTGATCTAGCTTTCAGAGAATTCAATTTTTGGGGTACCTACACAAAATGCAGTATATTAGCCTTTGGCTAGGTATTTCAAACTGACTTTAAATAAACGAATTGAATTGTTACTAGTTGTATGGCAGTGTCAGCTGATACCTGACTATATTTGCTCTATTAGTATCACATGCAAATGCACTTCCATCTCCAATGTGCTTCTAATAGAATAAATATGTTATGTATTATTTGTTCTTCATTGTAATTGTAATGAAAAAATGCAAGTTTGTAACATGTAATTATGTTGTGATTCATACACGTCATGATCTTAAGGTAGAAAAAGCATGTTGTTCTCTTGACTCCTGTGTGCAGATTTGATTAGGTTTTAGATAAAATCAGTGCTTATTAATTACCTAATTTGCATGATAATTAGCTGATTTGTAGGTGTCTATGACTGTTACACTGATATCTAAAGAATCACTCATTAGATTTTGATGAAACTTGGTACATAGATGATGCTCTGGGACAATGCACAGATCTGATTAGTTTTGGGTTGAAATCAAAGTGATATAAGTACTTTAAAACAGTCGATGATAGGGACAACAGGTGCTATAATTTTTTTTTCTGACAAGATATACAACCAAAATTTCAAGTCATCAATTTTCATATATGGTCATTATTTTATTGAATATTTATAATTCATAGCTACTTGGAACCCCCCAGATCATTGCTTGCAGTTATATTTTTAAGTGCTGTATTTGCTCTAATAAAAACACATGTGCTAACTTCATGCCTCCAATACCTTCAGCACACGGGTGTTCTTTCTAAGCTTTCTTTGATCTAATCTGTATTTTATCTGATCCAAGTTATGTCATCACAATTTGAATTTTGGTATTTCAACTCAGTCCAATGGCCATTTATTTAGTGATGAGAATACTTAGATTACTTAATTTAATCACAATTAATTATTGCTGGAAACTGTAATGTAAATTATTTTCACAGATTTTACTTAAAGGGCGGTGGTCGTTGCGTCGCACATGTGCCACATTTGTGTTGATAAACATTGATTTTCCCACAATCCCATGCGCTCTTCTAATGGAAATCACAAGTATGAGGTTTGACCTGGGCGTGACTTGAACTAATTACCGCCGGTGACTTCTTCGATACCTTCCAATCACCTAAAAAATACCTTATTAAAACTTGGTAATGTCTCAGTTTGTACTCGTCTTTGTGTATATGAGACACATATATCTCGCACATGCGAAATGTGACGCCTATTGCGCTTTAAGCCGCACTGCAGCCTAATTAATCAAATGTAATTTCACTGGAACTTATTTATGCTGATTATATATACCCTTGTTATACCAAGTAAAATATTGCAAACAAAATGCTGTATAGTACTGCAGTAAATTATTATGTATCGTGTCTTGGCAATAAATATTTGCTTTCTTAACTTGTAAATTATTCATTAAAAAAACATAACTTTTATTAGGTGAAAAAGAATATCCGAGAAGGTATGGATGATGCCATTCACAACTACAATGGGAATAATGACTCGGCCGGTTCTGGCAGTGTGGACTATATGCAGGAAGAGGTACAGTAACAATTATATACTTCTACAATTATACATATTTGATAAGGAAGTGAGAATAGATGTTTGTCTTCATCTCAAACTGTGAACCCAAATGTATACTGTATTTGCCCTAAATTAATAATTATTTTGACCATAGAAACGCCTCTGTAATTTGCATTAGTGTATACACTACTTAAAAAGCAAGTACAGGCTAAGCAAGGACGAGTGATAGCAGCTTGGCTAGCCCTAAAAAAATAAACAATATGACCTTCGTGCCGGAATCACAGTCTGTGTGTAAATTCAACCATTTCCTCCTATGATATGCATGTACTGAAGTTAAATATTGTTGAATGTTGGTTGCACATACTCGTGTCTGCATATTCCTATTACATGCTTATGCATACCTTACTGGGCATGTTTTATTTTCTACAGTCTATTTTCAAAATTCTTGGTTGTCTCTCAAATTGTGTTTAGTTAATAATATTGTGGAATGAAAGTGCTAAATAAATTGCTATATATCTTACCTACTAATTAAGGAGTATGCTGGTAGGTATATCACTAAATATTGCACAATACACTACATTTATGCTTGAGTCGCAGTTGAGTGCATATATGGAGTGAATTATCAGACCTGAATTATTCAGTCTGCTATTTCTAACAGATCTCCAGCGTAAAGTTGGTAACAGACATGGAAACTAACAATACATTTTTAGTTTTTCTGTTACGTGCATGCATGTGTCTTCCATGCTCAGCTTCAAAACGCAGATTGTAGATTCTTAATTTGATTTTTTCCCGACTATCCCATCAGTTGAAGTGTTGTGGAGTTTATAACTATACAGACTGGAAAGACACAGACTATTTCAAGAAGACCAAGACTGTACCAACAAGCTGTTGTAAGAATACAACGGATTGCACTGGGAGTCTAGCCCCGACAGAAACTGACAAGCTCTATCAGGATGTAAGTATTTAACTAAATTACCACCAAGTACCGATACATGAACTCTGTTATTGTGTTGTAGTATTCCTTATAAACAGACTGCATGACTTGAATGGGTAAAAGGTAGGCCATTCACAGCATTGTAGTCGGTGTTCTTGAACATGCATCGGTGTTGTCTTTCACAAATTTAAAATAATAACATGCATTGATGGAAAGTTAATTTGAGCAATACAAAGACATTGATAAAAGTTGAAGCCTGCAAAACAGTTACCAAGTATTTCAGGGGTGCGGGATCTCTAAATTCGAAAACAAATATTAGAGTAGTAACTTGCATATATAGCAGCAACAATGCAACAAAGTCTCACAAATGCAACGTATATCATGAAGATCTATCTCATTAGCAGCATTAACAATTATTTGCAGTTTTTACTGCTCAATCACTGGCGAGACAAATGATAAAAAAAAGCAGGAAAAAAATTAGTAAATCGAGGCAATGTTTATTCAAGAAGGTTGCTAAAAAAAATAGACTAACCCTGACCTCTAGAAATACCTAATTCATATAGTACTTTGTACCTTAGTACTGAAGACCGCTTCACATGGCAACACAATGCAAGTTGTAACATCCCGGTTGATGCATGCTGGGAGTGGTGAAGATGGCGGCAAAGACTGCATAATTTTATTCGAGATGTTCAAAAGCAGCCCAGTGTTCTCCCCAGCATTCAATTTGTGTGCAGGGCCGCCACGCTGCTTTCCCTGCCCGCCACTGTGGTCTAAAGCCGCCACGGTGATTAGTAAGACCGCCACAGTGCTCTTTTCATTGTTCATCCTGTGAACTGTATTACGAAATATAGAAAGAAATATGTAGCTATCAGGGATCTTGCCACACTTCCGACCAGGACTATTGTCCGACTTTTCGACCGACATGCATCCTGCCAGTCGTGGATTATAATTTGTAAACAATAGACGTAGTCGCACGATGTGGTAGTGGCTTATAAACAATACAAGTTAATTTTGTAAAATTAGCATCTCTTTGTTCGTAAGTAAATACTTTGACGATCGACGCAGTCTTTAGATTGAAAGCTAACATTTTTTCTGGTGACTGCAAGATTTCTGTCTGTCTTCGCACCCATTTCATTATGTTTCTTTATTACAGGGGTGTTTTGTCAAACTGACTGACATCTTCCAAGATAATCTCAAATACATTGCTGTCGCTGCATGTGTGTTAGCCATTATTATGGTAAGTTTACAAATTTCTGATGTCCATTTGGCTTAAAACATATACTTTTGTGGAATAAACATTGCCATGACAACCAATTTACTTTCTCTTTGGAAACCCTACAAATCTAATGCAGTTGTGCAAAGGGATTTTTACATGCTATAATGTGCAGACATGTATCTTTGTGGTGGTCAAGCGTGAGATTCCTTTATAAATATTACATTTATGTTGGTATCTGGGAGTTTGTATTCCATAGATCCTCAAAAAGTTAAGATCAAACATCAAACAAACATTGACACTGTTTTAATTTTTATATATTGAATATTGAATACTTCAACAACAGGATATACTTTCACCGTTTAATAATTATTAAATAATGGTTCAATTACATGCTTTGCAGATTACTTTGGATCAACAAATAATCTTCTGAAACAGAAAATGAACATTTCCCCATTATACTGTATGTGGCACACCTCTGATACCCATGCATGATAATTAGAAGCAATACTAATTTTGTGTTAGGCATTAGCCCTGCCTGGAAAAAGTGTTGCTCAATAGAGCCTAATAAATGCATAAAGTTATGTCTGACATCTGAAATGTTTCTATTTGCAGCTTATTGGTATGATATTTTCATGCATGTTAATCTGCAGTCGTAAGGAAGTACCATATGTGAGTCTTCAAGGAGAATATGCCTAGTCAGCTGTCATTGCTATTTGATGTGCTGCTCAATGTCATTTACTAAGTTTTGTATAAAAAAAAAAGGATAACAGCGCATTTCTCCAATAAATGTAATACTGAAAGTTCTTAATGTCCGGCCAAGATAAATTTGTACTTGTGTATACACTGTAAACATATTGACAATTACAGACTTTGATGATAAATTTGTGATTAGTTCATTAGCGTACATTCAATAATAATATTCTCCTGCATAGGCCCCCATTTGATATGCTTTGTACATACAGCCAGGAGTGCAAAAAAATAATAATAGACTCCCAATGTGAATTCATTGCATTCATATTCTGTAGCATATTTTGGATCAATTTGTGCTGTATCTCTGCTAGTTATTCCGATCATTTGTTTTGCATTGATGTACCAGCGTTTGCATTTAATTCTGTTTAATTTGAACTGTTATTTGTAATGTGTATAATTATATGAACCATCTGCAGGATTTCTTTGAATTTTTGAATTCTGAATATAAACAGATGTTTAAAATCGTATATACCAGTATATATATAAAGAGAGGTATGCCTGTTCAGAAAAGACATGTCTGCAGGTGAAAGTACATGTAAACGTTTAGTATTTTAGTTATTTATAACATGGATTGGTTTAAGCTGTGTATTTTGTTCTTTTTCCTATTTTTTTCGATTTGAAGACAGTTATTTTATACATAATAAGATTACACATGTAACATTTGTCCTATGGTTTTGTTCTATTGAAAGCTCTGATGTAAATGACAGGTGTATCTTTTTCAGTTATCCATTATACAATTAAAAGTAATTTAATTTATTTTGTGCGATTGGAAAATTCTTTAGTTTCCATTGTTTCTCTGGGATGCAGAGATGCCGGTGTTCAAAAGCTGGCTCACTTGGAGGTAATTGTACATCTGGGATCCAATCAAATATGGTGGACATATACAAGTTATTAGATCGTGCCAGAACGCATTGTCACCTGTGTCTTTGACGTGACGAGTTTGATTTCATTCTAATCTTGGCAGTTGACACCTTTGTTACCTGAATGCAAATGTTATTCCTTGTGTTATGGGAAGCATACAGTGCTATGGTAGTCAGTGTAAATATTCATCATAGTTATTATTATACTGTGTTTAGTTAATGATCTCAGTGACTACTTGCAAGTCATCTCGTCACTGATGCAAATGACGGACAGTTACCAAAAAATAGGTCACTTTCGTGGCCCCTAAAGTTATGGCAGCATCACAACTACACACAATTGGGGAATTTCAATGTCATTCTTTTTTTGACTCCCATGTGCGAAGCACAAAAAGGGAGTCTTTGCAGTTAGTGTGTCTGTATGTGTGTGTATGTGTGTGTGTCCGTCTGTTCCACTGATATCTCAAGAACCATACATCAGTTTTTGATGAAACTTGGTGCATAGATGCTCTGGGCCAATGCGCAGATTTGATTAGGTTTTGGTGAAAATCCATGCATATTAATTACCTAATTTGCATGATAATTAGCTGATTTTTAGCTGTTTCATGACTGTTCCACTGATATCTAAAGAACCACTCATTGGATTTTGATGAAACTTGGCACACAGATGCTCCAAACTAATGCGCAGATTTGATTAGTTTTGGGTAAAAATCTGCAATATTAATTACCTAATTTGCATAATGATTAATCAATTTTCGGCTTTTCCACTGATATCTCAAGTACTAATCATCACATTTCAATAAAACTTGGTACATAGATGTCATAGGACACTGCACAAACCTGAAAGTTTTTAGGGTAATATCAGTAGATATTAATTACCTAATTTGCATAATTAATTAATTTTCAGCTTTTGATATATGAAGTAGTAATCATATTTCAATGAGACTTGCTACATAGATCTTCTAGGATTATGCAGAGACCTAATTAGTTTTAATTGGATATTAATTACCTAATTTGCATAATGTTCCACTGATATAT